CAGACTTGCCCGAGGGCGTGTTTTCGTAGACCTGGGCGTCCGATAGGCTGCGGCCATCAGGTGCAGCACGCGGTGGGCGGGTGCCAGCCCACCGTATCAGTATCGGCATCATTGTCCTGCCGCACAACACAACACCTCGGTGACCAGCGCCATGGGGGGGGGGGGGAGGTAGTCGCTGCTCTTCCCACCGAGAGGGAACCCCCGCACCGGCCCGGCCGAGAGTCCACTCCATCTCTGGTCTAGAGATAACGGAGCCGCCCTCCTCCCCCTCGCCACGCACTGGGGAAGGGTGTCATGTCAGTAAACACAGCCACCCCTCCCCCCACCCACCACCACCCTGACCTGCTGAGGCGGCGCCCTGTCGCTGCTTCCGTGTGCGCATCATCTGCACGCCGCGCCAGGACCAAAGTTCGGCCCGGGCCAAGCGCTTTTTGGGCCAGCGCGAGTTCAACAGGGACCATAACGCGGGCCCTGACTACGCACCCCCCCCCCTCCCGCTCTTCCCCGGGGTCAGATCGCCGCCTGCTGGTGGACTCCTGATCGGAGTGTTGAACCCGGTGACGAGGCGCGTTGGGGTGCGGCAGGGTGCGGCGGGGCGGGGACGCACGCGCGGTGCAGCGCCTGCAGCCGGTGGCGCCCCAAGGACTCGGCCCCGCACGCGCCGCCCGGGCGGGGAGGTCGCAGGTGCAGCCCGAGTGCAACCCGACCGCACACCGCACAATGGGAATGGGGCGCAGGAGCCGCAGGAGCCGCAGGACGGGCGCGGCCCCGGGGCCCCGGGGGCAGTGTCCGCCTGGTAGGCGAGAGCAGTGATAACAACTCACCTCTCGAGCTTTGGGGTAGGCGACGGTCGGCGGGTGGCGGAAGTCGTCTTCGGTGAAGTTGGACGGAGCCTCCTCGGCCAGGCTGAGGCGGGGGGCGGACGCCGAGCTGGCGAGCCGCTTGCTGCGGGGCTGCTGCGGCTGAGCGTCGAGGGCCGACTCGCGGCCGGCTATCCGGCGCCCGGTGCAGCTGGTCACCTCCAGGGCGGTGCGGGCGTGCTTGCGGGAGGAGCGGCGCGCCGACAGCAGCGACAGCGAGGACGCCGTCGACGAGGGCTTGCGCTGGCTGGAGGGCGGCGCGCCGACGCCGGCGCCGCTCTGCTTGCAGCGAGTCCGGTCTTGGATGAACACGTTCACACTTTTCACTAGCCCCTCCATGTACTTGGTGAACCACGGCATGGTGAAGGGGTGTCTACTCATGCGGCACACAAAACACTTGATGGTGGCACTCCAGGTGCCGAGCGTGGCGCGGGCAGCGGGCGGCCGCGGCGGAGCGGAGCGTGCGGGAAACCGTGCGTCGCGGAGCAAGAGCCACGCTGATCTGAGTCGACTCGCCGCGCGGCCCGACTCTACACTCTGTCAGCGGCCCCCCCGCCC